CCTTAGCCAAATCTGCTTGAAGGTCCTTTATAGCCTCGTCCTTTTGGCTGCAAAGAAGCCGCATGGCATCTCTCTCCCCCGAGACCTTATGAAGCTCGACCTCACACTGGCTGAGGTCGACTCGAAACCTACTAATGGCCTACACAGTAGGGAAAGAACACAAGTCAAGTTTGGAAAAGAACGAAGAAACCAAGCACAGTAAAATCATTACCCGAGAAATGAAACGTTGGGCCTCTTCTAGGAGAAGAGAAGCGTCACCAATGTCGGAGGCATCATCGACTCCAGTAAAGCAATTCCGAAAAGGGTCCCCTACACTAGAGCCTCCGCCCATATCGGGGGTCTTCAATTCTCGAGCTTCCTTTAATGCCTCCTCAGAAAAGGTTGGAAGAGAAGGCAAATAACCCACTGTCATAGTCCCAATCGAATCGCTCGGGACGCTCTGATCGAGACTCGGGGTACCGGAACCGACCCTGACCAGTACATCCGCCATCGGCTTAGAAGCTTTGGCAACCTCGATAGCTTTCACAGATCGGATCACCAAAGCCGAGGCATCATCTTTTTCTTCTTCTTCTTCTCTCAGTCATTGGACCGAGTCCATCGAAAGAGCGATGGCCTTCCTCCTCACCCTTCGAGTTTTGGGCTTGGGGTCCTCTGACCGAGAGACAGCTTTTCGCTTCTTATCTTTCCCCGGTTCCGGGACCGGGGACTTGGTTCCTTTTTCACCACTCGAAGGCCTCAAAACGGCATCCTTGGTTATACCTGCATGAAAGGAAATCGATAACGAATGGAGCATAAAAAATATTTCGAAGAACACGAGAAGTAACCCTTACCATGATTCTTGGCCTCCCATATACCTTTTTCCAAATCACGCCAAGCGCGTTCGGCATAAGAGGAAGTCGAGGCTAACTTCCGAACCCAATCCTCGAGGTCGGGGTGGCATCCAAGGGGCAGCTGTATATCGGAGAAAGACATCAGATAAAATAAAAAAAAATGTACGAAAAGCAACGACTTATGAGAACCACTTACGGTCAAAATTTCATTTCTCGGGGAACGACATCTTCTCTTCCGGAATGAGGTCACGAGTCCTCACCCGGATATAACGGCCCATCCAACCCCGATCCTTGTCTTCGTCGATTCTCGACATCAAAGCCTTCGATGCTCGACGATGAAGCCTGATTAGTCCTAGAAAAATTTGAGGCCGATACAATCATATGAGGTGATTCAGAGAAAAATCCAGCCCCCCGGCCTTGTTAGAGAAGAAGCGAAGTAAAGTTACTATACGCCATAGAGAGGGATGAATTTGACTAGGGTGACCTGATATCTTTTGCAAAAATCAATGATCACCGGGTCGACGGGACCCAACGTGAAGGGGTAAGTGTAAACACTTAAAACCCCCTCCACATGGGTGATGACACTCTCTTCGGGGGATGGAATTTGCAACACAACCTCGGAACCCCAGTTGCAGTTTTTCCTCACAGCCTCGAGATGACCCTCCGTTATCGAGCACATGTACATCGACACATGTTCACATCGACCCGGAACAGATGAAGGATTCTCAACCTTAAAATCGATCTTCAGAGTACACGGGCCGGGAACATACTCACGGGTAGGCGGCTCCACCTGCGCCTTGTCGCCGGACGACAGTGAAGAAGAAGCTTTCTCTTTCTAAGGTATAATTTTCGAAGTTTTGGCCATTGATATGAGAGAAAGAAAGGCAAAGGAAGATGAAAAGTTGATGACACCAAACACTGGTGTAGATGGCTCTGCAAGCGGCGAAATATAGAGAAAGGGTAAGAAAATTTGGAAGAATGAAGACGTAAAAGTGGTAAATGTTAGATGGAGGGGTTATTTATAGGCTTGCATCGTGACGGTTCAATATCAGAGGTGGCCGACCACTGTCTAACATGCATTAAATACCTTGAAAGACTAAATCGATGGGACATCTATCACATACGTCATGATCGAGCCTTGTGAAAATGTCAGCTTATAACCCGATCGAACCGTCGAAAATCATATCGATTCTCACCACATCCTTCCTGAGAAACGAGGGGACTATCTGTATACGACCGAAATAGATTTCGGCCTTCCTACGTTCGATCGAGTTCGAATGGTAAGCAACCGGAGTGGGATATGGGATGAGTTTCGAAGACAATACAAACGAGCCTCGAGTCCGAAGGCTGATCGAGGAGTCGGCTCGATACTTTTATCGAGCCCGTGACCAAATCGATCCGCAAGGCATTGCTTCGAGGTCGGAAATGCGCTACGCCCACCCCAAAAGTCGAACTCAAGCCAAAATCGATGGCTCGACCCAATAACGAGTTCGAGCCAGTATCGAGCTCACAGACAAAAGCCGTTACAACTGCACTAAGGGAGAGAATCTTGGCGGGAATCGAGGAAGAGACAATTCATCATGGGTCCTTCACTATATGCTCTATTTTATTATAAATAAAGTAGGACCCCTCTATTATAAAAGGGGAAAAATCCTTGTAAGCAGAAGGAGATACCGAATACACTGTAACAAAAGATCATTTCTCATATTGAAAGATATCTCCTGGTGCTTGTTTTACTTTATCTTATTCAGTCTTTTTGCTCACTATTCCCATTCTCATAGTCAAGAATACACATATTTCTATCTCTCTATATGATTTGTATTAAAGGGTATCACATATCCTTAGAACCATATACAAATTTAACGTTATCTGATTTATCGGGTAAACAAAGGAGAAGAAGTATTTCAATAGTCGGAATTCTAAGAAATAAACCAAATAAAGAAATAAAAACAAAGAAAAAGTACTTAATCAAAACGAAAGATGGACAAGGAAAGAAGTGTTTTTTTCTCAAAAGTGTTTCTTTCAAAAGTACTTTTGGTGAGAAGCAGTTTGTGTTTGGCTAATTTATTTGAAAAGCACTTCTAAGCAATAATTAGTGTTTGGCCAAGCTTTTAAAAACTGTTTCTAAGTGTATTTTTCTCAAAAGTGCTTTTGGAGAGAAACTACTTTTTTATGTTTCTCCAAAACTGCTTATGCTTCTATTCAAAAGCACTTTTTTCTCTTTAAAAGCTTGGCCAAACACTACAATTTTGAAAAAAAAAAATAGTTATTTTTTTGAATAAAAAGTGCTTTTGGCTTGGAGAAGTTTGGCCGAACAAGCTATAAAATCCTTGACCTCACTTGGTGCACCCTTTAACCATTACACCATATGACTCTTTGAGTTTGGGTGCACACACATATATTTATAGTTTTATATTATTTTAAAGTAATATAATATTATTATACATGATTTAGAGAAGAGAGTATGGGTACACGCGAAAGTTTGAAACTTGGGAAAATAACACTTTTAGTCCCTGTATTATACCTATATTCTTCTTTTAGTCCTTGTGTTATCCATCTTACCACTACTAACCTTCAATTATATCATGTGAGTAGTTTTGATCCTTCAACTAACAGACCTAAAAAATTTTAACGGAGAGTTCACTGCTAAAAAGGGCAATTCAGGTATTTAGAACATTATTGTTTGGAGAAATAAAAACTTCAAGAAAAATCAAACTCTTGTCCTGGACATCACGCACCCTAGTTGAACCCTAGTTCTACAATATTTGGACGCTTAGCATCAAGGGTGTGGCCTAGTGGTCAATGAAGTGGGTGAAAACCATGAGGTCTCAGGTTCAAATTCCAGCGGAGGCAAATACTAGGTGATTTCTTCTCATCTATCCAAGTCTTGGTGGATAGAATTACCCGATACACGTTGCTGGTGGGAGGTGACAGGTATCCCGAAGGTGCGCGCAAATTGGCCCGGACACCACGGTTATAAAAAAATAAATAAATTTGGACGCTTCTTCATTACAAAGAAGTCCTTGATCTATTTGATCCGGAAGCGACGATGGAATTGCGTTCTAAAAGTGGGTTACAATCCACCCCATCATGTGAGTATTCTTTGAGTTAATTAGTTAAAGATTTCATGGGACAATCAAAGCAAAGTATCACAGCATACATACTGAAATACTTGGAATTATTGGCTTGATGATGTGCAAATTATGAACTTAGTTTCATACACTTTAAGGAACTGTATGCTAACACAAAATGGTATTCAATTTCTATTAGAAATTGAAAAAGTTTCACTAAAACATCTTTGATGCATTGCCAAAAACACCACATATATTCAATGCTCTCAATTGTATCTTAGAATCTGCACATGTCCAGTTTATCTTGAATAATTCGACCTCGATTGCTGCCACTTTCTTTTCAATTCCTCTACCCAAATTGTTTCTCCTTATTATGTTTGTGTGAATGAACAGATTACTGATTTCCAGTTTCTCCTCCTTATTATCAGTGCTCTCTTTTTTAAATGGTCGTTGTGTACAAATGACCATTTCCCTATCTGTCTCTGCAATTTTTTGAGTTGTCTCCTTACCAAACTCATGGTATCTTCATAATTTCCTTCTGGTCCTCTTCTTTTTCATTTTCTGCTAAATTAAAGGGAGATGGAAAATGAGTTTTCCCTAGAGACGTGAACAATAAACTGAAGGTAAATAGAAAGTCTTTAGAAATTTCTTTATTGAAACTACTACTAATCAGAATAATGACATCAAATTATAGGAATTTATTTAATATAAAAAAAGACATGCATGGTGCCTACCAGGTGAACTAATAGATTCTCATTTTCTAAAATTTACATTTACTTTATTTTAATGAAACCAATATATTTCTTTTTAAAATCTCTTTGCAGATGAAGGTGAAGATCATGATATGTACACAATTAAGCTGCACTATATGGTTTGGTGGATATTTGAGCCTGAGATGGATTATGTTGGTGGACAAATAGATTATTATGACTACTGTAAGAGAGATAAAAACTCTATTATCCAGATGAGACAATGTACGAAGAAGTTGCATGTTGATGATAGAAAAGTAAAATTTTTGTTCAAGTTTGGACCTCATTTCGAGACAAGTATAAGATTGTTAAAAAATAATTCAGATATATATAACCTTGTATGCGAAATACCTGTGAATAGAGAGGTTGAGATATTTGTTGAGCGCACAAATGAGGACCAATGGAGCTATGATGTGACTGATTTAGAGGGCAACTTCATGACGAAGAAGGCTTCGTAGATGTGAATATAGTAGAGGGAGATAACGATAGTGATGCTACAAGTGAAGATTGTGAGTCATTCCATGACTCTGACTATCCTGAAGAAGAAGATGACATGATTTTAGATAAAACCAATAATTCTATTACAGAGTTAGCTAGTGTCAAAGGATAAAACAAAGATAAACAGATTTGTGGAACTGGGAAATATATTGAGTCTGGGTTTGTCTCAAATATGCTAGCAGAGTTTCCTAGTCAGACTCAAGAAGAAGATTGTGTTCTATCAGACAATGAATTAATGAGTTTGCATGGAGATTCATATAATGATAACCCTAAAAGATCCATTGTTTTGAATCCAAGCAAGGACTTAGAGGATATGAGAGGATGTTTTAGATTAGAATAACAGCACTATAATCAACACATTCTTAAAATTGAAAGGCTAGTTAACTTGTTTACGAAAACCATAATACACAGAGAAGTTATTTGAATTTCCATCGAAATTATGTATCACAAATTGGGATAGAGAGTATGAAGAAGTAGCTCAATGTCATACAATGACTGCAATCATAATTTGGTCTGTTGAGCACTTTAACACCAAGTTTATTGCTTACTGCCATAAGGACCATTGAGAGGGTACCTTTACAAGCACCAGAGTAAAGGTATAACTAAAATGAAGAACAATAAGAGAAGTAAAAGTGCAACTCAAGTAGAATTGAATGTAGTGAATTATTCACATATTTACCAAATCATAAACTTTGGGGAAACCGACAGGGTGAAGTAGACTTAAGTTGGAAGTAGATGTAACTATATATTTTTTCATAAAAACATACTACTGTAAGCCATAAACTTTTGATTCTTCATAATCAAAAAGGACAAATATTCTCAATCAAATAACAGAATAGCTGCCTGTCAATTTGGCAGCATGACGTTTTGTGCCCTGAGCGTATGCCAATCACATAGCTTGAATGGCGAAAAGTCGCCTCTAGTTGGGATATGTGCTATTCAAGTTTGCCAGTCCTCTAATTAAAACAAGGTCACTCCCAACCAGTTATCAAACCTAGATATCCAGTCATTTCAGATGAACTGCATAGTGTAGCTAGTGCCCCCAATGTTCTTGTTTACATATGACCTATAAGAATGTAAATTCACCAGTTATATGTACCCTCTGAAAATAAGGAAGTCAATAATACTAGATGATGTCACATACACCACAAGAGAAGAGGAAACAAAAGACTTACGGAAAATTAATGACAATGATACAAGATGTTAACACAGAGCAGAAGAAGAGATATGCAACGAAATGCAAGTACCTCATCTGTTATTAGTGGCTACACCAACGAGAACATGAAATTGGGATTCCAAATTATCAGAAACAATAGACAAATATTTTTCCAAGACACGTGATGAGAAAGCAGTACACAAAGAAAGAATCAACAAATATTTCCTTTTTCTTTTTCTATTGTTTCAGAAGTTCAACCTGGATTTGTCATAGGGCTGCACCAAGATTTGTATAGCTAGTTCAACCTGGATATGTCATGGTCACATTCAATTTTATTAACTATTGATATAGACTTATGTTTTCTATCAAACTAACTTTTCAACCATCACAGTAATGTTTTCTCCTACTACTAGTAATATAATACATGAGTTGAATGTACATATTTAAACTCTGCACCCGATCAAACGTGTGTCAAATAAAATACGAACGGAGGGAGTACATGTTTCTAGGGCATTCTGCCTTTCGCTAAGTTGTAAAGTTTAAGGAGCCGACAATGATAAGATTCATGCTCATTTACAAGTAAATAAGATTCATACCTTGGCTCTACAATATTCTGTATTGATTAAATTTTACCAAATCACTCATGGGAACAAACCCTGCCCGCCCTTAACTTAATCTAATAGTATGTTGGTATTATTACGCCCATACTCAAGTAAATGCAAACACAAAATTAAAAGGTAAAATCATGCAAGACCAAGTGATGTAAGATCAAAAGAGTAAACTGTAGATATAAATCAAGAGTGACCATAAGGATGTTCTTTGTCGTTGGGAACCCTTGCAGCTTTAAACGACATCATTGCCACTCCACTCAGAACCTGCAAAGACCAGAACCGAACATTAGACATTAATGTTTACAAAGTTGATTCAACATCACTATAACCTCCAGGGGAAGATGCAAGTGTTAGGTAGCAGGTCCATCCGAACCCACTAGATTCAACTCGACTTCTAAATACACACACAGTTACACTGTTAATATTTTGTTTAAAATAGCAGGTCTCTCCAGCTACTGCTTCTGTATCTTACTTTCACGGCTAGCACTACTTTCATTTCTAATCTTCATTAATCAAGCCATACCCCTATTTTCTAACGAATTTCAGTCTTGTTCCAAAATTTTATTCTAGAAATCATTAGAATCTAAAGTTCTAAAAAACATGAGAAAGCCAAGAAAGAGGAAAATATATCTAGGTAGCAGCTTAGATTTTGCAAACTAAATGATGTTGAGACCAAGAGAGTAGTGCATTCAGCCTATTAAAGGGGATGGCCACACCCAACCCAGCTCAAAATTGTGAAAAATCGAGAAGAGAAACATACGCGGAATCACGAGTACACTATGAAATCTTCGCAAGAACCAGGTGGATTTTGTTCCAATGTAGCTCAGATGAGCTCGCGCTCGTCGGACAGAGAGAGAGAGAGAGAGAGCATGTAGATATAGAAATAGAAAAAGTAGCACATTTGGTAGGCATAAGATCTTAGCTCGGATGAGTTTTGTTCTTCAAAGAGAGAGAAAGATAGAGATAGAGAGATGAAGGGAGAGAGAGAGACGCGCTAGTAGAGGCTAGAAGCAAACCAAAAGTGTAACACCAGATTTATCCAGTAGAGTGGGCGTTTGTACAAAAGAATTGTAAAATTGGAAATTTTTTTTAAAGTGAAAATGATATTTAAAATTTGGATTTGTGTTTGGATATGGATATAATTTTGGATTGTTTTTGAAGTTTTGTGAGTGATTTGAGTGAAAATTTTGAAAATCAGCTTTTTGGAGTTTTTTAAATTTTCGAAATTTTTTAAAATGCATATTCAAACGAAAATTAAAAATTTTATGAACAAACGCTGATTTCGAAAAAAGTACACCCTCCGTTTCAATTTATGTGAACCCATTTGACTGGACACGGAATTTAAGCAAAAAGAGAAGACTTTTGAACTTGTGGTGTAAAATGAAGTACATATATTTTATGCGGCTATAAATTATTACATAAAGGTAAATTGTTTCCAAATAAAGAAAGATGTCATTCTTTTTGGCACAGATTAAAAAGGAAATAAGTTCACATAAATTGAAACGGAGGGAGTAATATTTTTTTTTAAAAACAAGGAAAAATCGGTTCAAAGTGATCTACGTCAAATTTTTTTTAGGTCTGTTAGTTGAACAATCAAAACCACTCACATTATATAATTGAAGGTCAGTAGTGGTAAGTTGGATAATACAAGGACTAAAAGCAGAATATAGATATAACACAGGGACTAAAAGTACTATTTTCCCTTGAAACTTCAAACCTACGATTTCAACTTCAAGTTGATTTTTGAGACAACTAAAACATAGATATAACACAGGGACTAAAAGTGCTATTTTCCCTTGAAACTTCAAACCCACGATTTCAACTTCAAGTTAAATTTTAAGAACTTTATAAATTTCGGCTATTAATTAAATTTAAAAATGATCCTAAAGTGCACTTCGCCTGATACGGGAAAGAACCCGATATCCGACCCGACCCGCTCCCTATATGACTGGCAGTTGGAACAAAGCAAAGGCAACCAAAGTGAAGTCAATACCAAGAACATAAAAACCCACAAAAAACTCGTCGATCGCGAATTTCCCCCCTCGAAATCGATCAAAAAACGCTATGATCCCTAACGGAGTTGAAGATGAAGAGAAATTTCTAGCAGCTGGAATCGCCGGCCTTCAACAGAATGCTTTCTACATGCATCGCGCTCTTGTAATTTTCACAAAACCTCCCCAAATTTCTTCATAGCTTTATGTACATATGAAATTACAATTTTATTTGGTTTACATAAGCCCTAATTTTGAGTTTTTTACGGTTAACGAATTGTAGGATTCGAATAATTTGAAAGATGCACTCAAATATTCAGCTCAGATGCTATCGGAGCTCCGAACTTCAAGGCTTTCCCCTCACAAATACTACGAGCTATGTGTGTACTTTTCACTGATCTGATCTTAATTATTGATTTATTAATAAATTGAAACTTAATTTCAAAATTTAATGTTGTAGCTCTTTAACCTCAGTATTAAAACTGTGTCGCTGTTGTTTGCTTGTTTTTTAAATAACTTCAAATGCACGTTGCTGTTATGCTGAAATTTTAAATTCCAGCATTTGATTAGAAGCTCCTTAATCTCATTATTAGAACATTGTTGTGTCTTTTCTTTTCCTTGTTTTTTTTTAAATTTTAATTTCTTTTAAAATTTTGAATGCGCATTGCTTTGTTAGATATGCGGGCATTTGATGAATTGAGAAAGCTAGAAATTTTCTTTAAGGAGGAGACGAAGCGGGGTTGCTCGATTGTTGAGTTGTATGAACTCGTTCAGCATGCTGGCAACATTTTGCCTAGACTGTAAGTTGTAGTGATGATCCAGCTGTATCTTCTTCTTTTGCTCGATTTCTTAAAAGCTTTATCTTGTAGTTCTTCAGCAACTGATCTTATGTTTGCGAATTGGCTTAAAGGTTGTACTGTGTAACTATTTCATATGTCTCCAAAGAGAGGTACTTTTGGCTTAGATTGTCAGAAATAATGTTTTGTAGGAAAGTCATGTGATTAAAGACTCAAATGAATCATATAGAAAACGCTATCAATGATGGCCGAACAGTCAGGAGGAGAATACTATACTCCTTGGGTTAGAACGTTAGAAACCTACACCCAAGAAAGCATGACCGAAACAGTAGAGAAAATCAGAGATGGGTTTAGCGAGAATAAGTTTTTAGCTTACATGTAACTTTGATGAAAGCAGTTACAAGTTTAGGTAGAAAGAGCAGCTAGTGTCAGAGAGACACATGAAGCGAAGTATTTGAGTCTCGTTCTGTTTGGCCTTTGCTGTGTTTCTTTTAAGTTCTGTTGCCATGCTAATCTTACTGTTACCCTTCGCTCAAACTGCTTACATACATCTCTCTACCTTTCTTTAGCATAGGTTGGATGTACCTTTACAACTCACATGGACACAAGTGTTGCTGCTTTAACAGTTTGGTTACTGGGAATCAAGCTAGAGCAGTATTTTGGATAGCGTGCGGCGGCAAATAGCGACGAGGGTCCGCTTCACTGAGGCGAGAGGCGTGC